GGAAAAAAATACAGTCAGGTTTACCATCCATGAGATTGGGTATAGTTACTCGATGCCCCACCACTCTTAGCTACTAGTTTGCACTGTTCGCACTAGAAAAATTCTAATCCACATATGACACATTTGAACATGAACTGGTCTTTCGTGTACGACAACTTGTGCTGCGTTGGGGTAAAAGAAAGCGCTCGTTCAGTCTGCTAGCAATCACAGTGAGTATTGCTATTTTAGTGTTTCTCTTAGTCCAACTTGTCTTCGTTGTCCTCAAAACCCGGCTATCACTAGTCAAACTGATTGAATGTTAGGGTTTGCACATATAGTGTTTTGAATCAGATTTCAAAGCAAGCGTATTTTGTCCTGAAATCAACGTAAAGTCGTTACGTACTCCCTTGAACCAGTTCAGAATGTTTCTTCGCGGGGCACGAGCCCGATTGGATCTGATAAGCTGAGTGAGTTCTGAATCCAGCAATTGTGGTTAACAAAGAACAGGTTTTCATAGACTTTGTTAACACTTTTCGGATTTTGATTTCGCTTTTTTTGGTATTTTTAAATTTTTTTCTCCCTTTCTCCAAATTCTATATTGTTAACTGAAATGTAGGCTTTATGGCTTCAGGCGTAATTAAAATAACAATTACGTGGACAATGTCGTGCAGACGTCAAATAAAGTGCAACAGTCTGATCCATTGTCCCAAATACGGCGTTTATAGTAGTAGACGCTTACTGAATAGCCGTGTTCGACTCGGTTAATGACTGCGCATTTCTAATCAAACTCAATAAGGTCGAACAGATTTACACTGGTCAACAGCTTCCGCTGTGTTTTCAATGTTGCGAATTTCAGGATAACAGCAATCGGTCAAACGTAATTCTCTTGCTCTCTGTAATTTTGAGGTAACTATATGGATGTTTATGTATATGTGAGTACTCTGTTTCCACAGTATTGTCTTTCACTTACTTGATTCCGCTCGAACACGACATCCCTGACTAAAAGTAGACGGTTGTCCCAGATGCCATTTGCGTACATACAGTGTACACATGACACAAGCGGAATTTTCGATTCGACCATGATAACCGTACCATCTCCTGCTGGCCAGTGCGTGATTATTTTCAAAAAGAAAAGCTTCGTAGAGGGGACTCAAATCGTCGGCTTCGGTCTCCATCTCTGGGTAGATAAATGGTCCGTATTTGGCACACGTCTTGATAACGGGTGAAACAGTAGCTGAAACAAAAGCAATGACTTATATCAAAAGATAGCATTACAATAAAAGACGTTTACAACTACTCTGCCAGATCTCAACATTCTCAGATCTTACATTTATTCCCCGAATTCATTTAATGTTAATACCTCTACCGTTTCATATCTTTCCTGATGAACGTTTTCTTATTTTCATTGTATAAACAATATATGTATAATAAATAAACAAGAGAGTGGCGAAGAAGCTGTTTGCAGTGATTCATATTCATCCCAGTACATCACAATATATATATCACTAATTACGAATATATTTATTCAGGGAAAAATCAAATCAAGCCACATATTACTAAAANTTTCGCCGGATACTCGTCTTTGTACCGTCTCAGCTGATATGGTCCGGTTGAACGAATACGTATTGTACACGGACGTTTTCTGAACTTTAGTGTTTTGTAAAGTGTTCTCCGTGCACCTACGCATCCATGTTGGTGATGTCTAGAAGTTCCGGATACTCCTTATGTGTAAAGATCGAATTTACAAAACTCAGCTCTTCCTCTTCCTCCAGGAGGTTTTCACTGACGATTTTTCTTGCCCTGTCTATTAGGCATTGCACCCTGTTCCATTTTACCTTGAGCAGGTCGGTGCTTCCGAAATGAATGTACTTGTCTTGGCAAGTTGCCTTTCTATGCACCTAACGCTTCGCCGAATCCTGCTGCTTGACGAGTGATGCAGATGTCCAGAAACGAAAGTTTGTTGTCACACTCAATTTCCAAATTCAATGGAATATTTTGGGATGCGCAGTGATGAAATTGTTTAGTGGTTTCTTTGTATGATCGACACGACCTCTAGCACACAGTTTGAAAACTCGGTCATTTCCGAAATTGATTTTTGTTTTTCCCAAGAAAATGTAAATGCGCTGGGTTCGGCATGCAGGTATCAGTTCGCAAATTAGAAGTGCTAATCGATCTTGAGGTGGTGCAAATGGGAACGTTTGAGTTTTTCTCGTTACTCGCAGAAGGGTTTTGTTCATGTCGCCAGAATAAAAATCCGCATTGCCATGTAGAGAACGATTATTGTGGTGATAAAAATATTATTTTGCTAAAAGCAAATATATAGAAAATGGTGTCTTGTATTTCATTTGGCTTGGTGATTCCGCTGAATTGTTTATTTTGTCTTGCCTTTTTTCAATAATTTACTAAAAAGAATCATGAACGCCGACATAGGTCGTTGTAATCTGTTGCTAACAAATACCATTGCTTCATGGTTCAAGTAATTCCTTGTGGAATCGAACCGAGTTTTTCATGTTATTGTAGCTGCTACCGACTATTTACTAATCAATGAATTGTAAGCAAGGCAGTTTTTAGAGAACATCATTATTGATTCACTCTGATAACGAAGACCTTTTTACCCTAAACGGAGAGAAAGGGATTATGGATTTGGAGAAATGGATCGCAAGTACAAGACTAGGCTGGGGTCTGAATGTCACTCACTTATTCGTGTGACCGGAAACCTCGATCCAACGGGCGACTTGACGTAGATGGGTGTTTCCATCGTCTCCAAGAGAAACTCATATCCAAGCAACGTATAGGTTTTCTCTATCCCGTTTAAAGACACAATCAGTGATCCCCTTACTCGGTCGGACTGAACAAACAATTTGCTTCCGTCATGAATGGCGTATTTGATTCCAAACCATTCAGTATCTTTCACTGCACGGGGGTCGGCAAGAAATTCACACAAAACAGGAATTAGATTTAAGCACAGTTTCATCTCCCGTGTCCGGTCGAAATCATATTATGAGCCAATTAAATTACCCACGGTCTGGTTGTGAAATGCAGGAATATTGGCGTGTAGTAGTGCGCTACGCAACATTCTGTTTGTGTTCCCTCGTTTTCCGATTCGCTGAGAAATGCTGAATGTCACCTAGGTTCGTGATGAATACAGCTGTCGTATTCTACATATGAATATGGATTTTGATTTCCAGTTTATCGAACGACCAGGAAAAGAGCTCCCGTTTCGACACTTTAGCCACACATCCAATCTGCAATACCGATGGAATATATTTATTAAAAACGATTGTAACATCAGCGATCGGATCCCAAGATACACACAAATAGTTGTCGAGATCCGGAATGTGTTATGAATTGATGGATATGGTTTTATTTCAGGAAACTCGTCTCGTTTTGTATGTGGTCAAGAAATATAGAGTGTCAAATGACAATTCGTCGTGTATATAGCAAATGAAGCGTGAACT